TCCGGTAGTTAATACCGGTAATTTTTCCGGTACTATCGGTAGTCACTACCGGTAATTTTTTCGTTACTACCGGTAGTCACTATCGGTCGTCATTACCGCTCCCGCTACCGGAATATTCACTACCATTAGTCACGACCGGTAATTTTTCCTAGATTACCGGTAGCCACTACCGGTAGGTACTACCGGTAATTTTTCCGGTACTACCGGTAATTTTTTCGTTACTACCGGTAGTCACTATCGGTAATTTTTCGGTAGTCACTACCGGTAATCATTACCGGTAATTTTTCCGGGAGTTACAATCAAAATTTGTTATTTGGTAATAAATTTTGATTGTAATTCCCGGAAAAATTACCGGTAATGACTACCGGTAGTACCGAAAAATTACCGATAGTGACTACCGGTAGCAACGAAAAAATTACCGGTAGTGACTACCGGTAGTACCGAATAATTACCGGCAGTAACAACCGGTAGTACCGGAAGAATTACCGGTAATAACTACCGGAAGAATTACCGGTAATAACTACCGGAAGAATTACCGGTAGTGGCTACCGGTAATCCAGGAAAAATTACCGGTCGTGACTATCGGTAGTGAATATTCCGGTAGCGGGTCTGACTTAAACTCTCTTTCACTACTGATAATTTTAACTATTTGTTCGAAGGTCTGACGGTGTCTTACTTCTATCACTTCAGCCAAAAACGGGTACTTTTTTTTCTAATCTATGTCTGACTATAATTGTCCGTTTCTACTAATGCAAATTTTTTTTCTAAGTTCCCTGACAATTTTTATTCAATGTCAATGTTGAGTATTTTTCTGCACAAAAATACCAAAAAAAAAGAAAGAAAGAAAGAAAGAAAACCAAAATAAAGAAAGAAGGGGAGAAAAAAGAAAATAAAAAGAGACTCGAATGGCGCATAAATCAATCGTTCACTGCTTTTTCTGCATGTGTATATGTATGTGTGTGCTGGCCTAATGGCGGCTCGGTTCGCGTGTTAAACAGCAGTTATCTTTGGCCTTACCTCAAGCCAACTGGTCGCGTGCTTCTTGGGTTGGGTTCAGATCTTCATTGGCGGACCCGGGCGGAGCTTCGTTTTCTGTAACGCGCACTCCTTTTGCTTTGGCTGGCATCGCGCGACAAAGAGGTGTGCAACGCGCTTCTAATTGAACTGCAACGAACAAAAAAAAAAAAAATACACTCTCCTTTCTCCAAACTCCACTGTTTTTTTTTTTTTTTTTTGCCCAGCTGTGTGTACTATCCAATTACACACAAGCAAGGTTTTCTAAAATTAAACACCTTATACGTGGGAATTAATAGTTGTTAAAGGGGAGAAAAAGTATGGTTGCGCTACATTACATAAAATGGTAATCCATATTTCTGGATAGTGCATCTGCCAAAAAAAAACTGGTGGGAAACTTTTTGAACTAAATATTGAAACAGAAAGCATAAATTGGATGAGGTGATAAGAGAAGACGCGGAGGTTTTATTATTGGCTCAACCATAAATATGGATTGGACATCCATACCTTGTACCATATCCATACCATATTCTAATAATAGAATTTGGTCCATAGAAATATGGATGACAATAGATAAACCATAAATTTCTAAATTAACTATGGTTTGCATAGTAAGGTCAACCATAATTAAGGATGGGATATCCATACCTTTTACCATGCCATACCATACCAAACCATATCCATACCTTATATCGTACTTAATACCAAACCATATCCATACCATATTCTAAGAATAGAAAAGTGGTTCATATATGGTTAAGAATAGATAAACTATATATTTCTAAAATATCGATGGTTATCATTGTAATGTCAACCATAAGTATGGATGGGACATTCATAGTTAATACCATATCCATACCATATTCTAATAATAGAATATGGTCCATAGAAATATGGATGACAATGGATAAACCATAAATTTCTAAATTAACTATGGTTTGCATTGTAAGGTCAACCATAATTAAGGATGGAATATCCATACCTTTGTACCATACTATACCAAACCATATCCATACCATATTCTAAGAATAGAAAATGGTTCATTTATGGGTAAGAATAGATAAACCATATATTTTTAAAATATCGATGGTTATCATTGTAATGTCAACCATAAGTATGGATGGGACATTCATAGGTAATACCATATCCATACCATATTCTAATAATAGAATATGGTCCATAGAAATATGGATAACAATGGATAAACCATAAATTTCTAAAATAACTGGTTTGTATTGTAAGGTCAACCATAATTATGGATGAGATATCCGTACTTTATACAAACCGTATTTTGATAATAAAATATAATCCATAGAGAGATGAACGAGAGTGGATAAACCATAAATTTGTAAAATATCTATGGTTTGCATTCTAAGATCAACCATAAGTATGGATGGTACAATAATAATAGAAAATGGTCCATAGAGATTTGGATATTAATAATAAAAATAATAATAATTATTATTATTACTATTATATTATTATATTATCATTGTTAATTATAATAAAAATAAAATAATACTATTAATAATAATAAACAAAAACAATAATGTAATTTTAAAAAAAAATTACCCTAAATGTTGTAATGTGCATTACATGTAAAATATGTGAATAGGAAATGTGTGCGGTGGAGAGCGAAGGGCTTGTGAAAAAAAGAAAGAAATTGAAATTAGTCACAAAAGGTAGGAGAAAAATATCTTCCGCAACTGGCAGAGCGAGTGCAAAAAGTATTGCTCTGCCTTAGGCTTTCACTCTCATTCTCTCTTTCTCTCTCTCTCTCTCTCTCTCTTTTGGCGATCTTTTGTTCGTTCCATAATGAATTCAGTAAGTTTTGTCGAGGGTGGTAGTTTTCATGGTGGCACCCTCAAAATTGGGATGTAACCGAGGAGGAAGGGGGCAATTTATGAACTAGACGTTTCCTTTATGACGGGGCGCGACTGAATTTTAACTCTCGTGACTCACGATGGATCTCACAAAATGAAGGGTCTACTGCCTTAATATGTGCGAATTTACAGTATAATCCAGCAAAAAAAAAAAAAAAAAAAAAAAAAATGCGTGAAAATATATTTTCAACCGTAAAAAAAAAATAATCTCCTATACACAAATGTTTATTATTCATTCTCTTGTGTATCGAAAAACAAGTCTTGCTTTTTCAATTTGCAATCAAAAAATAATTTCACAGGGAAAAAAGAATTTAATTCATTCAAATAAATCAATTACTTAATATTATTTATTATGTATTTACTTGGACAAAATATAGATTTTTAATTAAATCAATTCAAATTATATTTATTTTAAATACAAGAAATTATTTATTCAAATACAATTTATTTAATTTAAATAAAAAAAAAATTATTTGATTCAAGTAAGTATTTATTTGCGTGAAATGAAATATGTCTCTTATTAGTGTAATATTAATTGAGATTGAGTTAATCGATTTAAAAGGAGGATTTTCTCACGTAAATAATAATAATAATAATAATAACATGAGAGAAAGAGAAAGATGCCGTTGTATATTGCAATCGTAATCCAAGTTCTCTTATATAGTAGGACGGGACTAAAGTTTCTGTTCATCAATAACGACTAACGTGTTGTGTTGTGTACTACTTGGTGTGTACTTGGATATTGCGAGTACCGTAATGTTTACGCATTTACAATGTTGGAAACATTGCAAAAGGTTTGCTTTTACTGTAACATGCTTTTTTATGACAATCTCGTTACTAAAGTAATAATAGTATATACCAAAGTCTTATTACACATTGGATATATAACGTGAAAGGATTTTTTTTTCTATGATAAAGAAAAATAAATATTATTCTTTATTTAAAATTATTATAATAACAATTATTATTTTCTTATTTATTCAGAAAGATTTACTAAAATATTTCCGTCACAATTTTACTAAAATAAAATTTTTAAACATTGACTAAATCTGTGTTTTACTACTTATATATAATTTACATGATTTTGACAGACTATTTGTCTGACTAAGAATGACATTTACTACTACATTTGAAATTATTAAAAATTTAAATAGTTCTGTCTGGCTGATATACAAAAAAGTTTTAATGTCTGACTAAAAACTATCTTTTACTACTCATTAAATAAATTTTTTAAAATCGTTGGCTGACTGAAAATTACTTGTACTATTAATTATAATTATAAAAATGTAATACGTTCTGTCTGACTGAATTTGACCTTTACTACTGGTATTTAAATAAATAAAATATTTTTAAAATTGCCTGACGAAAACTGTCTTTTACTACTAATAAAGAAAATGACTAGATTATTTTTTTTTTATAACTTCTGCAAAAGAATAAATAGAAAAATACTTGGAATGTAAAATATAAAAGAAGAAAGTGAAAGAAAAATATGTATATCTCGTAAAAGTATAGATATATATATAAGAAAAGGAAATGAGTTAAAGAGAAAGGAACAAGAGAGAAAGAGAGTGTCGTTGCGTCGATGCCTCGGGGATTATATACGACATCCAGCGACAATACATTTCTGAGATCACTATCGAACCACTATTGTCGACCATTAAAAATATCTTCTCAACATTTATTCGGCAAATAAATCTCGAAGCTGTGGAATGCGTCCCTCCTATATATGAGTATAGGTTCCGCGAGTCGCAAGTGGATCGTTCGTCGATCCACAAGATCAACGTCCTCTCTCTTATGGTTTAAAAAAAAAAAAAACAAAACAAAACAAAATTTGTTGTCCCATCATTGCATTTGACTATAATACATGTCCAAATAATGTTCTTTTTCCATATACGAAAATTAATTATTTTTTGTTTAAATAATAATAAAAACACAATAATCATAAATAACAATTTATAATTAACTGTATTTTAATTACTAACCGTATTTTAATTTCGAACCGTATTTTAATTATTTATCATATTTTATTATTATAAATATATTTATTCTAAAAAAAGAAGATATTTTTAAATGTTCTAAAAAAATGTTCCTTTTTTGTTACAGGAGAAATTTCATTATTTTTTTTTGGCCAGTGATTTTACTCGAAGAAAATTGAAAGTACAACTCACTTCAAAAAATGTAAGTCACTTTTATAATTATCATTCTTATTTTTATTTTGTCACGTCTTATAATGTGAACTTTCTAGTCAATTTATCATTTATGTCCACTTCACGTCACTCTTGAAAAAAAAAAAAAAAATTAAAATTTATTCATGTCGGTGCAAACAAGTTTTCACCTAAAACCTGCGTGGACCATGCGGTTTTTTTTTACATAAGCATTAATGATAATGATATTAATAAAAAAGTAACATTCATTTTAAATGTAAGAAAAAAAAATTCTTACCACTGATTTAGGATTTTTAAACAAAATAAAGATTATAATTATAATTATTTTTATAATTATAATTACAATTACCCAGGTGTGAAAGTTCCCGGTAGTCACTACCGGTAGTCATTACCTCTCACGCTACCGGAATATTCACTACCGGTAGTCACTACCGGTAATTTTTCCGGGACTACCGGTAGCCACTACCGGTAATTTTTCCGAGACTACCGGTAGTCACTAACGGTAATTCTTCCGGTACTACCGGTAATTTTTCCGGTACTACCGGTAGTCACTACCGGTAATTTTTCCGGGACTACCGGTAATTCTTCCGGTACTACCGGTAGTTACTACCGGTAATTTTTCCGGTACTACTGATAGTCACTACCGGTAATTTTTCCGGGACTACCGGTAATTCTTCCGGTACTACCGGTAGTTACTACCGGTAATTTTTCCGGTACTACTGGTAGTCACTACCGGTAATTTTTCCGGTACTACCGGTAGTCACTACCGATAATTTTTTCGTTACTACCGGTAGTCACTATCGGTAATTTTTCCGGGACTACCGGTAGTCATTACCGGTAATCTTTCCGGGAGTTACAATCAAATTTTGATATTTGGTAATAAATTTTGATTGTAATTCCTGGAAAAATTACCGGTAATGACTACCGGTAGTCCCGGAAAAATTACCGATAGTGACTACCGGTAGTAACGAAAAAATTACCGGTAGTGACTACCGGTAGTCCCGGAAAAATTACCGGTAGTGACTACCAGTAGTACCGGAAAAATTACCGGTAGTAACTACCGGTAGTACCGGAAGAATTACCGGTAGTCCCGGAAAAATTACCGGTAGTACCGGAAGAATTACCGTTAGTGACTACCGGTAGTCCCGGAAAAATTACCGGTAGTGGCTACCGGTAGTCCCGGAAAAATTACCGGTAGTCACTACCGGGAACTTTTTCACCTGGGTTTAATAATAAATATAAATAAATAATTTCTAAAAAAAATTAACGATAATTAAAAATAATTTAATAATATTGTTTTTAACTTCTGTAAATCAGAATTTATTTTTTTTTTTTACAATAAACACAAACAAGTATGCAATTGAAATTTTACATGAATTAAATTAAATGCCTAGAATAATTGTTAGCTAGCATATACTCAATATAATCAACTGCATTTAACTAATGTCAAATGCACTTGAAACAATAAAGATAATTAAACTGCCCTTGCTCGTACTATCGTTTATACTGATAAAACAGAAACTATTGACACTCTTTTTAAAACGACATCATTAATCGTATTTAATGATTATATTATGACCGGTTTTTACAAGTCGTTTCTTTGAAATTTTTTTTAACAATATTTATTCATCATCATAAATTGTATCACCAGACTGATAAATACAATTTACACATATATACAATATGCAAAAAAAAAAGAAAAAAAAATGTTAATAGCATAATTATTTAATTCAAATTGCAAAATCTCGTGTGTGTTGGTGTTAATATCTTTGGCGCCATGTTTATATAGAATTTAGTTTCATATATACACGATGACTGTGCAACGAGGTGTGAACCTCTCGAGAACTTACTACTGGTATTCATAATAGTCGATCATCAACCATGCGTGAAGTAATAATTAGCTTAATTAATTTCACACTGTTGACAAACTAAAAATGATAAAAAAAAAAAATTGTAACTTTGTTTTACAAGGTTAAAATTGACAATTTCATAAAATCTAAAAATAGAATTATTTTTATTATCTAATAAGAATCAATTTCATTTATTTTTACAACTATTATTTAATTAGTATATATATTTCTTAAAATTTATAATATTATTACATTATAATTATAATTATTTTATTGATTCTTATAATATTTTTTTGTGATAAATTCTTTATTGTCAGTTCGTTTCAGACAGTTAATAATTATTATTTTATTTAATCTTTTTCAAAAAAAGAAAAGAAAAGAAAAATGAATAATTAAATTCTATAACCTTCAATTGATTTTTATTTCAAATGTCAAAATTTAATTGAATCTTTTGACACAAGATATCCGTGCGGTAAATAAAATATATCAGCAGACAATAATGATTTATTTATGAGATAATTCTTACGTTTGTCGCCGATTGATAGTTTAATATAAGAATGGCAAAAAAATTTATTTAGAAATATAAATTTATTTTAACTAGTAAAATTCTATTTTTATATTTTATTTTATATTTTAATTTTCCATAAAATTTTTGATCATTGATTTATGCCTCCAATTAAATATTTCTAAACAAGAATGGAAAAAATTTAATTAGAAAAAAATAATTTTATTTTGTTTTTGCAAAAATTGTTATTTAGGTTTTTAGTTTTCGTGGCTTAGGCCCAAAAGTCCTATAGTTTCACTTTGGCGTCCGTCCGTCCGTCATACACTCGTATGGTTACCATGGTAACAGTTTCCATAGCAACCGTTTTTCTCATATTTTTTTGATCTAAATAAAATATAGAAACAAATTTTGTCCCTAAAAAAAAAATCCTAAGCTTTATTATATGCAATGAGAATTTACATGTTTAATGAAATTCTAACGCCATTTCGCTAGTAATATACTTTTCAGAGCGCGTGTAATAAGAGACAGAGGAGAATATATTGAACAAAGAGAAATATATACAGAGAGAGAGAGAGAAGGATTAGTAAATTCTAAATCTTGACTCTGTTGAATTACTTGACGAACAAGGAAATTAATTAATTTTCCCTTCGGGTCTAATCGGTGAAAGGCGTGTAAAGGTTTACGTCCACAAGGCAATCTTCCCAAAGAAATATCATCCCGTGAATCTTCCCTTGTGCGCGCACCTTCAAACTATTTTTAAATCTCGCCAAAAAAAAAAATGGGGGAGAAGGAGATATCTTCTCACTTTAGAGACAGGTGAATAAATTAAAAAAATTTCGCGCTTCCTCGACAAAAAGCAAAAAAAAAAAAAAAAAATTATATACTCGAATCCTCTTTTTATATGGACACGAAAAGCCAAATGCGCGCACGAAGACCTCTCGAATGAGAGTGTGACGTGTTTATTATCTAAAAAGCACTCTCTTTTGCATCGCCTTCGTGTCTTAACGAAAAAATGCACTATTAACACCATCTTCGAGAGACATGTATTTCGTTGAAAGATACATTTTTTAAACACGCGCCACACCAATGACTTGTTTCTTTGAAATTAATTTATATTCCACACACTCTGAAAAATAAGTGTTTTGCGATATAAATACAAAAATGCGTAAATTCAATTTTGAATTTTTTTTTATGGTATCAAAAGAATTTAAAAAACATTTTAAAAACAATTTCCGACGTATTGGGTCAGACACAAGGGGGAATTTACTCAGGTAGTCAAGTGTACACTCTTTCTGTAATACTTGTGTAATAACGTGTAATAATGCGTTATTACGGTGCTGTACGTATATCACAGAAAAAAACTGAGTTCATTTTTGTTGCAGTTCATTCTGAATTCGGTATCATAATGAACAACAACTAACTTCAAGTTATTCAAAATGAAGCGGACCCGGATCAAATGTCAGGTTATGTTAGTTTCTGTTGAAATTCAAGATTTTAAGATTATTATGTTGGCAACAACTGCAACTTATGTATGCAGCGCCACACTGGCGCAATATTCAAATTGAAATAGTAGAAATATTTTTTACTTTAATTTAACAATAAATTTGAATAATTATAGTTAATGTATAATATAAATTATTATTATATATTATATTTATAATATTCATTTACAAACTATTATATGTATTATATTTTAAAATAGTATCCTAATATAAATATAATAATAGATAATATATAATAATTGTAAAATATACAAGAATTACAATTAAAAAAATGGTATGGGATAAATTTATTAAAATAAGTTTAAATAAAAATTTATATATATATATATATTAATTAATTATATTAATATTTATTTAATATTAATAATATTAATTAATATTAATACTTTGATATTATTTGATTAGAATTATTTATATATTTATATATTACAAAACTGGACTGCGGATGTAAAATAATTAAATTATACATAAAGTAGTAATTATAATCTGTCACATAATAATATTCTTAAATTAATTATTTCATTATTTTTAAAATTAAAAATATTTAAACTGAAGAATGTTATAACAATCATTACATTATTATAATGAATAACACTTTATTTTTGGTTATAGTTTTAAGTTTAAATTTGGCGCCATTATCTTTGGTTTTTAGACAGTGGCGCCGTTAAATTTCATGTTTCGTGTTGCATGGTTGGTATTTATTTCTGTCAATTCAAAAGTTTCTAACCTAAAAATAATTTATTTTGTTTTCTATAAATTCAATGAATCGGATTTAAGAAACAAAGTTTTTTCAAGTGTAATCTGTTTGTTCATTGAAAACAATAATTTTGATTAATGGTTTTATGATAAAGTGCTTCTTAATTGACTATAATTGTCATTTTAACTTGAACTCAAAATGAATCGGATCTAGCTCATTTTGATGCTTTTTGCCTGAAGTTCAAAATGAGTTTCTCGAGGTTCATTTTTGTGTGTTTTTTTCTGTGTAATAACGCAAAGAAATCTGTAATATCTCTGTAATAATGTGTACTAAACTGTAGTAACATGTAGTACTTAGTAATAAGGGTAATATGAGGTGTATTACCGGTAGTCAAGTGTACACG